CAGGGCCGATGTTGCTGTTGGCAGTGCTAATAACGCCGGGCACTTCCTCCTTGTTCTCCTTGCCGCTACTGTTGTCCGCTGATGGAGCGGCCGAGTCCTCCGTTGCGGAATCGGGGTTTGTCTTGGGGGGCGCCGTCCATCGAGAAATCTCCCAGACGACGCCAGTGAAGCTCTTGAGGGTGAATCCTCCTCTAGCCCACTTACGGCAAGGCTTGCCAGATCTATCAAGTGCACGAAGTCCAGCATTGATGGCGCCCTGGTTCGCCTTGGGGCCGAGTTTATGTCCGCCGGCTACTCGGTTCGACGCGGTCGCGTGGTCGATGGTTCCATCCTCACTATGTCTAGTTAATATCAAGTTGTCAACTGGGAGACGGAACAATGCTTACAGGCGAGGCTTCTTCTTGGGCCCAGGCTTTCCTCGTTGCTTGGGAGCCGAGTCTCCGTTGCCATTTGCGGCGGCGGCAGATCGCTTGACGCCCTTCTTCTTGCCACCCTCGACAGGAGGAGCCAGTGTTGCTGGGCCAGGGGTTCCTTCTGGCTGTGGTGTCGCGGCATTGGAGTCGGATGCATCCTCGCCATTCGCGGTAGGCGCGGCAGATGGTGCAGCCTGGGAGGCTGGCGACGACTTGACTTCGAGAGACTCTTGCGCCGGGGTGCCTTCGTCGCTGGTAGTATCAAGGCTAAGCAGGTCGCCGAGTGCCTTGGATGGAACCTTGATCGTATGGATCATGGTTGGCTTCTGCGTCCCTGACTTCCGTCGAGCAGACTCATTCGACTTGGCGGTCGGCGCCATGATTGAAAATGCAGACGTGGATTTGATTAAGCAGGAGCGAGATCGTTGGCGGCGATGATGGGCAGGGGAGGATGATGAAAGGAGGAGGATGGCTACTGGATGGAACACGGGTGATGCGTGGGGATTTTTGTTGGTGGGCGGTCGGGTACTCTGCAAAGCTGAGTCGCTGAGGCTACTTGGTGTACTAGCGAGCGACTCTGACTGTGGTGATCCAGAGCGAGCGCCTTGTCAGGGGTTTATCGATGGTAGGTGGATGCGTGGATCAAGACGCGATGGTGTTCATGATGATTTGGGTTGAAGGTTGTGATGGAAAGGAGGGAGGAGGGAGGAGAGTTGGGGGTGGAAACGGCATCGAGGGAGGCAATTTCATTTTTGGGGCTTTGAGGTGTGGTCTGGCTGGTCTCAAGTTTCTTTATTTGCTGTGCTAGGAACGGTGTCAGTCAATCAATCCGGGGATCGCAGCAGCGAGCGAGGAGCAAAGGCCCTCATCATGCTTTCCGCCGCCAGGTCCCGGCCACCTGCAATACGCCTTTCCCCATCAGGCCTAGCCGCACGCTGCACAAATCGACGGCACAACTTTATGCGCCTTTCCGTGCCAGTTGCCTCCAGAATTGCCAGTCCTTGACGAGGATGCCAGCCTACCATCGACCGACCTTAGCAGTGTTTTGGTCACCAACACACGCACGCACGCAACCTTGAACTGGCAAGGTTCTGCACAACAGCCCCGTCACTTCGGGGCGAGCACCTACCTAAGCTTCCAGCCATTCATTTCTGCATTTCCGCCGGTCACTGCCCGCCCTACCTTTGTCGTCGCAGTCAAAGGGCAGTCAATACGGCAAGAGGCAGGCAGCGATGCGTCTGTGACGGACTGACATCAGCTGGAGTGTGGCGCCCCCTCTCACCAGTCACCAGTCTCCAGAATTGGGAGTGATCACATCCAGCAAGGGGCACGAGTCGAGACGCCCAGCCCAGCCCAGCCTAGTCTAAGGCTTGGGGGTGAGAGGATTTTTTCCCAACCCACCTGCTGTGTGTCGCCAACACCACCTGCAAAGGCCTCAGACAGCTCCAGCAACCAGGCTTTGGGCCGCGTAAAGAGGGGAAGCCTATGCGCAGAGCCACCACGGATTCTCACCGCCCACCCGGCACGAGAATGAAGCCGCCTGACGCGAAGAAATCCCGATAACCACCCAACCAAAACTTACGTATGCCTCGGCCGAAAAGCATCCCTTTTCTTAGCACCACGCCACCTGGAAAAAGTTTCCACGTTATGGGTTCACAGCTGAAGCTTCCCGTAGCCCACTCGCGTCGGCTGAATGGATCAAAGCCAATTCCTGCTCCATCGCATGATTCCGCCCGCCGTCGTAACCTGAATGAAATATGCAAACTAGCCGATGACAGCAATGAAAAGTTCCGGCTCGTATGATCTCACATCAAGATCGACGTAGTAAACAGTAGACATAAATGAACGAGTCCGACCATTTCCCCAGGGTCAACAGGCACCGGATCACTCTGAAACTTGGTCAGGATCCAATGGAATGCTACAGACAATGATTCTTATCAATGACGCTTCGAGCCGTTGCCTCCAGGCTGAGACAACTTGATGCTTATCCACGCGATATTGGATAGACTGGCATGCGTTGCTCCCGACGACCCAGATGCCTGATGGCAAGTATATATTTTGCGTAAATTTGCGTCGAAGAGCCACCAGGTCGTAGTTGATGCATTGTTCTTGTTTAATTCTTCCGACTAAATTACGTTTTTTGAATCACCTCAACCTAGTTTTCAAGATGGGACTTCTGGATCTCCTTGGTGTCGGCCTCAACCTGGCGTCTCAACTCGGGAACTCTTGTCCAGCTCAGGCTGGAGCTTCCGGCGCCTGTTCTTCTGTCCATGTCCGGCCGTCTATGGAAACAACCTCAGAGATTGATGCCCTTGGTGCGCTCCCTTTCAAGCAAAAGCTGAGCATCCTGCATCAATCTCTAGTCACGGCTCGGAGCTTGGTGGAAGACCAAGGCCCAACAGTCTCAGTTCCTGAGTCCCAGCTACACGACGTATTAAACAAGATCAAAGCAATGGAGGACCAGATCAACCAGTTGCTAGCTTCTAAGTCTGCCGAGACAGAAGTCCCATCCTCTAACCTAGCAGATAACCGTTCAGACGATCTCAACCCGGTCTCAGAGTCTCCGGATCGCAAAACATCAGCAGTTCCAGCTCAACAACCGTCAGAGATCGCAGAAGGTGTATCAAATGATGATTCTCCACAGCAATCCTCTCCACCGAGCAGTTCCTTCAAGCTAAGTACTGAATCCGTTTCCAATTCTCCGACTAATGAGAACATAGGTCCCACCAGTCCCAGCACTGAGTTCTACATAAGCACGTCTCCAGGCAGTGAAGCAGGCAGCCTGCCTGAGCAGAATAAGGCAGTTAACCTCGCCGGAATCTTTAAAGAGAGCTCTGAAGAGTCCAATAACATGGAAGAGTTTGAGACTACAGAAATAACATCAACCGTCCGGATCACCACGACGACAACAATTACCAAAACAGTTGCTCAGTCTATTCAGTTGTCAAATGTTGCACCATCGGCTTCAAATGTGGCAGTCGCCATTCCTGCGGAGAACAGAGAGAGTCTCTATCCCACAGAGGCCCACGCTGTTGCTCAGTTGCAGGAAGTGTCAAGCACCAAGTCCTCAGTGCCGAGGAGTAGAGCCGCCCGGACTGACACCAAAACCTCAGCCTCCCCACACGCGACGTCCCGGCAGCCCATGGAAGGGGGGGATACCTATCTCTCGCTCATAAAGCCCCCGGCAGACATCGTTTCACGGGCTCCTGCAGCAAGCCCAGTGTCGGCTGTTAGCAAATACACTATCGGCTTGGACAAATCGAACGGAATAGGAGCTGTAACCCCCAGTGGATTCCGCACTATTACCTTGCCAGCCAACAACGACACAATCCCAAACGGCAATTAGCATTACGACAAGCTCCGTTTTTCTCTATTTTGTATGTTTAGTTTCTTGGGTCAGTACATGGGTATTCGAATTGGTCATTTGTTTGTTTATTAGGTTCCCAGTTCCTGATGCGGATGTCGAGAGCCGGATGACATGCTGAGCTCAGGGCGCACAGGATACGGGAATGAATAGTCGTTATGTCTCTGTTATATGATGCGAGTTGGGAGTGTGCGTGCTCGACGAGTCCTGTTGTTTCTACAGTCATTACCTTGTCTTTAGTTGCTTACTTCAGAGGTTATCCTCAACGTCTACTGAATCTTGGATATTCTCTCTATTTCGATATACCGTCCAGATGAGATAAGTGTGGGCCGCATGGACTTCCTGGGAAGTTTCCACCTGTGATATGGGAAAGGGTGTACTAAGAACCCATCCGAGGGTTCCATAGTAATATTTTGCGGCGGCCTCTATGGATACGGACGTGCTGTTGCATGACGACCTCGCAGTTGGAGGTCCCAGACTGGAATATTGCAGCTCTTGGAATGCGGTCAATCAATAATGCAGGAAACCTGCCTTTATTAGCATCGCCAGCTCCACTGGAGATCGCGCCGGTGTCTTGTCCCGGCTCCAAGATCTGCCCAGATATATATGATATCCATAATGTACGCATTGACCTCAGCTTTCAGCCTGATGTGCGAAGCAATTGAATTAGTAAAATCGCCGGCAGGGACGGAAACGCGTGCTGACCAACGGCTCCGAGATGATGCCAACACACACGAGAGACGTACACCCTCTTGCCCTCAGACCCTGGGCGGGCTTCATTCAGATCACGACACCCCTGCACAGCCTCGAATCGTAGAGGGGCGTTGTACAGACCTTCTTAGACGGGACAGCGATGCGTACATGTACTCCACTCCGCAAACCATTTCCTCCCACATGCCCGCGGTTGGCCACACCAAGGACCGAGTGGCGAAAGATATTGCGCCGGAAATTGAATATTTGCAGCGCCGATCGCCAGTATCTGGTGCTTCTTCGTTGGAGGAACAGAGCCGGAGCGAGGCCCGAGCAGCAGTACTCGGCGTCGTCTGGTCTATTTCGCTCTGAACGGCATGTCAATTTACTCGATTCTCAGTATCCAGACTTCCCTTCTGGGTAGGTAAGTTACCCATTTGGTTCTTCGGTTCTAGGCCTACGGGGAGGTGAGACGAAATATGACATGCAGTTGGCTGGCAAACCGGCCCCCATCCCATGCCATCTTTTTTGCCCTACCTGCTCCCAGCTCCCCTCGGAGCGATGGCCTCGTCGCCTTGATTCGCAAAAAGATGTCCATGCATCAGCCATTCGGTTCCACTTAGTCCACGTGCATCCAAACCAGGTACCAGGCCATTGTGGTGTGTGCTTATCTCAGAGAGCTCGGGGCCACCGCCAACGACAAATACGATGGGTGAGCACTCGTGAGCTGTGTGGGCGTTCTGCGCAAAATACTTCTGCATACATACTCTTGCCGGAACACCTTTACTGGAGGCGGCATCACGAGAGCCGGCCATTGTCCCTGCCGCTCAACCCAAGACGTGTCTGGTCCTGTTCCCGCTCTGAGCCTTGTCTTGCTTCTGGTCTCTCTCTCGACCGCTCTCACCGAAGGACCCTGCATGTGCTAGCGGTAGCCGCAGTTCAGGCCGCCGCTTGTGAATGATCCCAGGCGCAAAGTCGTGGGGAGGGGATTAGCGAGGGTTAATTGGGAAATAATGTGCTCTTGGCCATCCAAGATCGATCTTCTTGCTTCTCCGCCTGTTTTCTTTCCACCGCGCAGACAGAGACACGGACAATGAGAGCGTCGCTTCTCTGGCCCGTGGCCGCTGCTGGGCTGACCGCCGCCGTCCGCGAGAGAATGGCTGCTTTCGCCAACGACCTCATCCCGCGGTTCTGGATGGACCCGGCGATTCCTCTGCTCGGACGACAAGAGGGCTGCAGCTACGACACCCACCATTACTGTGAGTATCTTCTCTTTCACCTCCCCCCTCCTCTTGAGACCGATCTGCGGCATTGTTTCGCTCGTCTTGCGACCCACGCAGCGGCCTTGCTTCGGTGCGCTGCCGGCTGGGTTTATGCACCTGATTGTGTCCATCCTTTGTCCTTGCAGCGCAGCCTCGCAAAGCCCCTCCCTCGCTCAACACATCTGCGAGGGGTACTGTCTCTAACTCACGTCGTGTGCACCAGGCGACGACATTGGGCATGGTAATGTCTGCTGTCCCAACAACAAATACTGCTACATCAACAAGAGCAATGAACCCAAGTGTTGTGACATCGGCTCCAACTGCACCTTAGACTCGATATGCAACAGCCTCTCCTACTACTGCGCCAGACCTGAGACCGTCTCCGGCACGGTCACGACCAAGAACGGCTGCTGTGGCCGCACATGCCCCTCGACCAGCCTCTTCCTCTGCCCCCAGGCTAATGGCGGCAACTGCTGCCCGTACGGCTCCCAGTGCGACGGGGGGAACTGCAAGGCCGTCGTGACGGCATCCTCCACCGCCCTCCTGACGCCCATCCAGGAGGGCTGCACCACCTCCCAGTACCGGTGCCCCGACGGCCACGGCTGCTGCGACAACAACCAGGTCTGCACCTTGGTCAGCAACGAGGGCTACTGCGTCCCGGGGATCCCCACGCAGACCGACATCGAGTACATCGGCACCGACCCCAGCGCCGACAAGCTCTCCCAGGGCGCCATCGCCGGCATCGCGGTCGGCGCCGTCGTCGCCGTCGCCCTCGTCATCGGCCTCGTCACCTGGTTCTGCATCCGCAAGAAGAAGGAGCGCCGCGCTCTCTCCCGCCGCCAGACCGCCAGCGAGGCCGCCCAGACAGAGGACCAGACACACGTGGGCAGCATGGCCGAGCCCACGCCCTCGGCCAGCCGCGGGCCGGGACTCACCCAGGACTACTTCGGCCCTCATCCCGTCCATGGGC